CTCTTTCCTGGCACAAGTTGAACGTTGCCGCAGACACCTGACTGAACTCTCCCACTGGACACCCTGAAATTAAGGAGGCGGAGTCTATCTTATCGACCTCTGTGTCTTAGCTGGAATTTGCCTCAGCGTACAAACACAGCCAAAACCTAGCAACTGTGTGGTGAACGAACAAACGAATGGACGAATGAGACCCCAGTAGAAGGCTAATCTGTTCTAGAATCAAGCACAAGAGGTCTTTCCCCAGACATGGACTCACCGAGCATCCCAGAAGACGGGGGGTTTGGCTGAATCTGCTCGGGGGAGATTTCTTGAATGACGTCCCACAGCTCCCAAGGCATCTGGGGCTTGAGGATGTAAAAGGGCTGATCAGGATGAAGCTTACGATAACTCTTGAAGTTATCGAAGAAACTGTAGTCGGGATTCTTATACCACTGAAAAAGAAGGAAGAGGTCTTCTCAAGGAGAGCATCGTGCCAATGCCACTGCTGCCCCCAGGGGGTCATCCTCGTCTGAGGACTTGAGGGGAGGTGGGGAAGGACCAAGGCAGACTCCTGAGGCACAGCCCCTTCATCAAGACAATTCCGGACTTCAAGCTCTCACTCGATAGTGGGGGACCCAGCACACAGCCTGTGCTCACCAAGCTTTGAGCTTGTTGACCCTGGAACGGCTTCAGACTTCAGGATCCTAGAATCTGGGAAGGATATCAGAGCTGAGAGGGCCTCTTGGCCCTATCTAACCCCACCTCTCTTTTTTAAAGGGGTGAAAACGGGGGCACAGCTTGCCACATCTGTGGATTCACAGTCCTTGACCTGACCCAGGCAAATTTCAGTTCTAAGTGAGATCAGTACAAAACTGGAAACTGAGGTAGCGAGAGGACGGTGCCAGGGATACCAGAGCCCATCAGCTATTGGTGTGTCCAGCATAAGAATTAAGTGTCCCAAGAACAGTGCTCTCTGTCCCTCCTCCCTAAAGCCATTCTCCTGTGGCCACTGCAGCCCGTATCAGGGAGAGGCCAACTGACGTGTGTAACAGTGAGAGGGTCATTCTGGAGAAGCTAGAGTCCAGCAGGACTGAGACTCTTTCTCCTTCCCTGGAAAAGCTGATGTTGCAGATCTGGGCCCTCTGCTTAGCAAATCAAGTCCCAGGGCAGGTGACCCCCCGACACGCACACATATTCTGTTTTCCTCCTCTGTACAATGGGAATAACCATGCTTCTACCTATCTACTTCTTTATGTAGCTATGAGAGTGAAATGAGAAGCATCCGGAAATTGGAAGTGTGGGAAGAGTGTGGTAATATTACGTATAGAAGTGATAGTAACCACTGTCTATTCTTGCTGGTGCCCGTCAGGAGTAATAATTGTATTACATGAACACAATCCACCCCAGATGGTGGGAAATCCAGCCACTGTTACACCTGGTACAGACCGTAACTGGGAGACAAATACATGGCAGTGCAGGGCGGGCATGGAGAGCACTGGTATAGGACAGGAATCCTTCTGTACCGCTAGTCCAGAAGTGGGGTGCCCTAAAATGGAAATAGCCAGCCCTCAGTGTGGTCCAGGTCAGCCGTGACTTTAAAACCCAGGACCTCGGGGAAATCTATAGACAAAACAGGTGACTCAATCCCAATTTCCCATGGACACCCACTTACCTTTGGGATATCTGAATGGTAAACAGACGGGTCCCATACAATTAGGATTCCTTCATTGTACAAACTGTCTTTGAGGAAGCGCCCTTCTGTGGTGACCAACTGCAGGAAGAAACAGACAAGCTGTCACCTGGACATTTACATGTGAATGTTGGCTTGTAGTAATACCTGACACATCATAAGTACCACCTGAGGCCCCAGAGCCCCATGAAGCTTCTGAGTTTTGGTGCAGCACTTAACTTGAGTAAGAAGGCGGCAAAGATACCAGCCAGAGCTGTGTGGACCTGAAAGGACATTTCGTCATAATTCATCAGCCATAGAGCAGACAGGGTTCCACTCAGACTTTTGAGGTTGTTGGAGCCAAGGGTACAGTGAAAATGGCTCTGGGTATAGTCCCCTGCAGTCATACCTTATATGGGGGTCAGGGGGGTGAGGTTTAAAGTCAGAATCTCATATAACCAAAATGATCTCTGAAAAGCCCTTCAGTCACCTATGAAGTCCAGCACGTAGTTATTACAAAGCATGATGGAGACGGACACAGGACATCTCAGAATCTAATACAGGCCGTGGTTTCTGCAGCACTGGACCAGATGCCAGTATCTGTGGTTGAGCACCAAATGAAGTGGTTGGCTCGTGTGGAGGGGCCATGGCATATGCAAAAACATACGCTTAAACGTGAGAATCTCACCAGGCTGGGGCAATGCTCACGTGCACCGTGTTGGGGAACCAGCCACTGCTCCACTCCTCCCCACGCTCCCAGGCTCCCCTGCTGTCCGGCTGGCCTGGGCAAAATGTGACTGTGATAAGACTCCATGGGACGGATCAGTTTTGCAAAATCCATTAACAGTCTTTTAAAAAAGCAGAAACTAACACACCATTGTAAAGCAATTATGCTCCAATAAAGATGAAAAAATAAAATAAAAAAAGTATTTACTGTATACCCTTTGACTCAGTAATTTTACATTTTGGCATTTATCCTAAGAGAAGCTAAATTTGGGGCAAAATTATGAACAGAAATGTTAATTAAAGTACTTACCAAAATATGAAAAGTGTGGCAGCAGAAGGTGAAAACTACTAGACTTATTACAGAAAGACCTGGCTCAGTTCTTGGCTTTGCCACTCATCTGATTACCGTGAGCAAGTCAGACAGTCGCCCTAGGCCTAGTGCAGGTAACACTGCCCTGCTCTCTCACACAGGAGGTGCCTTGAGGATCAAATGCGGCACAGGAGTGCGTGAGAAAGAGAGAGAAGGGGCCCCGAAGGCTTAGCAATGAAAGAAGCTGTGTCCCTCTTAAGGGACAGAGTTGTTTCGTGTGATCTGCTGTCAGTCACCTTAAAACGCAGGTGGGAGATGATGTTGCCCAGGTGTTAAAATGAACAAATGGCAGAAATCAGAACAAGAATTGACTGGAATTGAAAGCAAGAATCACAACAATAATCCCTCCCCAGGAATTCCCTGGCGGTCCAGTGGTTAGGACTCGGCGCACTCACTGCCTGGGGGCCCAGGTTCAGTCCCTGGTTGGGGAACTAAGATCCCCGCAAGCCGCACAGCATGGCTCCCCTCCAAAAAAAATGCCTCCCCACCTCGATCACTCACCATCACGAAGGAGGCAATGTCCCTGCAGTATCTGAAGAATGACTGTGGGAAGATGGGTGGTCTGTACAACCAAGAATGGCAATTTGCCAAGAGCCTCTAAGGTCATTCAGCTACCCCGTCCCCACACCTTCCCCCAGATATAGGAAGGTCCTGGGAGCCTGAAGAATATAATCTCATTTCCTCAGTGTATCTTTGAAACAAGAACTATTGGTGGTGGGCCCACCCTGGCCAGAGATTGTGCAGTTGTACTGGGTGCTAAGGAGCCCCCAGGCAGTCACAGGGTGCCAGAGTGAGGATGGCCATGAGGTAAGTGAATGTTAAGGGACAAATAAGACTAGGCAAGTCAAGGGAGTGAGGAGGGAGAGGTAAGAGGACCTGGACAGAAGAAACGACGTGTGCAAATCCCCAGACGTGAGAATACATGGCAGAGACTGCTAGGTGTCACCCCATACCCATCCTCTCTTTCCTCCTTGGTAACAGATACCTCAACACATGGCTACCTAAAATAAAGACTACCTGAAGTAAAAATTTCCCAGCCTCTCTTACAGCTAAGTATGGCCATGTGACAAAATGTTGGCCAAAGGTGTGTAAGCAAGTGTGACTTCCAGGAACTGTTCTTAGAGTCAGGGTTATGCCCTTCCTTGTTCATTCCTCCTTCCTGCTGGCAAAAAGTGGATGTGATGGCTGGAGCCTGAGCAGCCACCTTGGACCATGAAGTGGAAGTAACGTGTTAGAACGGCAGATGCACAAGGGAGTAGAAGCTTGAGTTCCTGACTCTCTGGAACACCATACCAACTCTAGACTTCTTTTACATGACAAATACATAATTTTATCTTGGTAAGCTAGTGTTGAGAGGCGGGCAGAGTATTCCTGTCGCTTGCAGCCAAACCTAATTCTAATTAGTAGAGTGAATAGCTTTTTTGGGAATTGCAGTTTGTCCAGTGGCTTAGATACAAAAGGAGAGCCAGAAGGGGTCAGAGAAGTGTAGGCAGGGGCCACACCAGGGAGCTTAGCGTTTCCTCAGTAGATTACAGGACCAGTGAAGGCTTGTGAGAAGAATCCAAACAGACCCGTGTTCTGGACTAGAGTTTTTACAGAAAAGGAGATCAGATAGAAGCTGCTGCTATAGCCTAAGTAAAAAATGATGGGGAAATGAAGAAAAAGAGTTACAACTGTCAGCTGTAGGCTTGCAGACTAACTGGTTGTTGAAAGTGAAGAAAAAAGGCATCAAGGTGACTCCTGGACCTCAGGCCATTTCCTAAAATGAGAACTTGGAAAGAAGAGCAGCTGGTATGTGCCTTTGGGAGTGGAGTGGGGATTTGAAGTTCAAAGATGAGGCAACTGACCTGGAGTCCCACAGGTGAGCGGCCATAGGAACTAGGAGGGGCCCCACACCTTCCAACATTAAGCACTGTCCTCTTTCTGTGGAGAACACGGTAACTCACAGCACAGGAATCCAGCGCTATATAGTCCAAAGGCAGAGTGTGCATCCTGGCAGACCGGGCTTTGCAAGGTAGACATGTTTGAGCGGGTGACAGGGAGGCCTCAGGGGGATGTGGGACACCCTCACACTATTTTATACATGACTTTCATGACTGAACTCTACAATTTCACTCCCTGTCCCATCCCACTCCACCCCCCACTCAAAAAGAAATCTGCTGGTATATTGAAAGTCTAAGCGTTAAGCTATGCTTCTTTCTGTGCGGAGGACCTGACACCAGGTGATTTATCCCTACTCATGAGTTGATTTATCCCTACTCACTTACCTTCTCTGGGCCCCAGGTGCCTTATTTATAGGACATGACTATCCTGTAAGTCCCTGCCTGGGTGACCAGCCGTGTCTGGACAACATCTCAGTCTGTCATTTGTCCAACTGCAGCACAAGTGACTTAAAAATAAAGCTCTTCTCAAATGCTCCTGTACTCACCCACATGCACAGTCTGACCTGAGTTCGGGGATCCCCAGGGCCTCATGATGAAGAAAGCAAGTCATTGCCAGAGCAACGGAGCCCCCAAGCAGCACATGCCAGGAAAAGACTACACTTGGGAGATGGACTGTTGCTGTTTAGCAACCTGTTTAAAGTAAACTTTCCAGTCATAAAGTAAGAAATAGTCACTGCAGAAAGTTAGAAAATACAGGAATCCGCACGCGCGTGCGCACACACACACACACACACACACACACACACACACAATCTATCTACATACATATAGAAGAAAATAATCATGCATAACTGCATTCTTCAGATATTCCCACTGTGAACATGTGAGTCTTTTATCTTACCAGATCTTTCTTCCCCTCTGTTATGAACTGAATTATGTCCCCCCCGCCACCAAATTCATATGTTGAATCCCTAACCCCCAGTGTAACTATATTGGAGATGACAGGGCCTTTGGAGAGGTAATTAAGGTTAAACAAGGTCGTAAGGATGGGGCCCTAACCTAATAAAACTGATGTCCTTATAAGAAAAAGGAAGAGACAGCAGAGATCTCTCTCTCTCTCCCCCCAACGACCATGCACATGTGATGGCATAGAGAGAAGGTGGCCATCCATAAGCCAGGAAGAGCCCTTGTCAGAAACCAACCTTGATGACACCTTGATCTAGTATTTCTGGCCTCCAGAACTGAGAAAATAAATCTCTATGTTTCAGCCACCCCATCTGTGGCGTTTTGTCATGGCAGGCCTAGGAAACTAATACACCGTGTGTGTGTGTATGTGTACGTGTAGATATTGATATCTCTTAACTACAGAGTTTAGACTTAGTGGTTTTGTTAAACTCAGACAACAGTCCAGTTCGATGTCTTCTCACTTACCCCTCACAGTATTCCCAAGCCCCAAACAGGGCTTGAAAAGGAAACTCTGAGAGGTTATGAAACTGGCCCAGGATCACACAGCTAGGAAGGGATGGAGCTGGGTTGCAAATCAAGGTATGTCTGACCTCCCACTGTACTAGGCAATCTTTCAAAAATGTTAAGGGACGATAAAATAAAGTTTGTGTTCTGGCTGCCAGATTTGCAAATTTGCCACAGTTGCAAAGCTAGCTAGTGCTCTAGGAAGACAAAGAGGTCTTCAAGGTCTTCCGTAGACCTGAAAAATGATATGAAGGCCCTGGGCCTTAAGGGAAGGGCTGACCATTGTAAACTGGACCTGGACAGGGAAGTGCTAAACAGAAGGGCACCACAAATTGAAACCCACCACAAACCCCAAATCAGAGGGGCCCGTAATTCTACCTGGAATCACAGAAAAGGCCATCCAAAGAACCATAATATATTAGAGGAAGTAAATGTTGGAAAGTACTTAAATGTTCAAGCAAAGGAGATCGAAAGAATAAGCTGTGAGACTCCCCCACAGAGGAGTACTATGCAGCTGCAACAAAGAATGAGGAAAATTTCTATGAACTGATATGGAGTAGTTTCCAGAAGGTACTGGGAAAAAGCAGAGTGTAAAAGAGCATATATAGTCTACTACATTTTTGTAAGGAGTAAGGTGAATTAAAACATATATA